CATATCACCCCAAATCATAAATTCTCGTTCTTTTCTAAAACTCTCACTGGTCTTGCTTTGCATATCTTTTAGGTACACTCTAAAAGCAGGGGTAGGGGATATAGCTCAGCAGCACAGCGCCTGCCTGGCAAGTGTGAGGTCATGAATTCAATTCCTGGTACTGCAAAAATAAATAAATAAATAAAAAATAAAATAAAAGCAAATACCACTTTTGGCCTGTATGAACAGGTATTCATGTTATATGTCTGTATCTGAAGGTGCATAAGCCATGGTATTTCAGCTTTAAAATAGGGTGGACAATAATACTTGCCCCAATAACTTCACAGGTTTTAGAGAGAATGCAATGCACCACAAAGTGAGGCACCAGATAGCTCTACATTTCCTGCTACTGTCCCTAGCGCAAAGAAGCCCTGGCTGAGGGTAGACATTATCCCAGCATGAAGAAGCACTTGGCAGCCACACTGTTCAGCCTCCTGCTAGCCTCCCTTGCTGACATCACCCTGGGCACTCCAGGCTCCATCAGAGCTCAGTATTATGCTCCTCCTCTACTCTTGGAGATATGGAGAGGCAGGATCCCCTTCACCCTGATTGTGGCAGTGCTGGACAGGCGCTCTCTTCCACCTCCTCAGCCCCTAAGTCTCACGCTGGAGAACCAAGCTAGACAGAGGGACAGAAATGATAAAGCCCCAAGCACAGTGTCTGGAAGATGACGGTGCTAAACTGGTTCTGATCCCTCCCGATGCCTGTAAGATGGACATTATCATTTGCATTGCATAGATAAGAAACCTGAGGGTCAGAAAGGCTAGGTGGCCTAATTTCAGCTTTCCTAACTTGGTCCCTGGGCTAGGAAGCAGTGGGGCCTGGATTCTGCTCACCTAGCCTGATTCTGGGGCCTCTGTTCCATGGCCAGTGGGAACAGATGAGATACACACCTTCTTCGAGATGTGCCTCTCTCTGGTACATGCTTTTCCTGATGTCTTCCAGACACCTGGCTTTCAAGAAAATGCTAAGTCAGACCTGAGGCAGGCAGACACAGGTCCTCCAGCCTAGGGCCTTCTGCTTCCCTGAGTAACAACCAGGCCTTGGAAGAAGTAGGTGGATTTTCCCCCAGCCCCACCTTAAGACTGGTAGATTAGAGCTCTGCTGAGTCAGGCACCTGTGGGAGGACCACACAGAGTCCCTGAAGAAGTGCAGGAGGAGGAAGTCAACTGAGTAGGCCTCACCACTGAGTATTCTTCACCCCAGCAGTCCTGCCCTGTGCTCATACCTCTGAGTCCAAGTTGCCCTCAAGAAGGCCATACCCATCCGGAGATTAGCCCAGACCTCCCTGTGGGGACGAAGGCAGCTTAGTTCTAGCTCCAGGCCCCTGGGGCCACCACTCCAGCCCAGCTTTGGTCCAGGGAAGCCTCTCTCAAGGTCCCTAGGAGGACTCAGGCCTCCCTAGCCCCTGGAGAAGCATCTGCTCACATCTACTACCCACACACAGCGAAACCACAGAAAGTGGGAAGTGAGAAGGGGTGAGCATGGGTCCCACTGGTGCATGAAAAGAGGCTTTAAGGCTGCATGCTAGCAAGAGAAACAGCAAAGAGAAAGAAATAGCAGAGGTGGGAGTCAGGCTGCCAGGGCCCAGGGACACAGAGCTACTGTACTCCAAAGAGGCAGTCTGTGTTGGAGAGAGCAGCCGCCAGGCCGATTTATTGTTTATTTTATTACTCTGGGTAGCTGGGCGGTAGGCCAGGGAAGTTATTTCAGGCAGAGATCATAGCACATTAATTAGTTATTAGAAGAATGTCCTTTCTGTGTGTTCTTCCTGAGACAAGAAATAGACCCCGTGGCCAGCACACAGAATTGAAAGTGGATGGTCCCTCAGGAGGCAAAAAGCCAAGAATGGGGGGATTGAAGAGTCAGAGCTTTGTTTCCTAGGAAAAGGCCCCTCACAGGTTCAGGCCTGAGACCTATGAGTGAGTCAAGCAAGCGCACAGGGAGAAAGGCGGACGGAGGGCACGCATGCTGAGAGTCAGGCATGGATGTGCGGAGCTATCCTAGGGGATCTTTGTTTACTTTGGGGAACGGATGTTGGGCCCAATTACTCTCTTAGAAGGTAAATATGAAATCTAATTCTTAATGTAAAAAAGTAAAATGAGAGTTAAAAACAAAAAATGCTGCAGAACTTCTGGCCTAAATAATTTCATGTCTGGGAATTGCTGAAAGAATTCCAGTATGTGTCCAATACGTGGGAAAATCTTATGGACAGAGATATTCAGGGTGATTTCACAATGAGAGAAACAACGGAAACATTTTGTATGCAATGAATATTACGTGGCTGTCAAAAATAATGATTACATGGACAATACTCGTGTCTCAGCAAAAAGAAAATCTAGTATGTAAAAGTACACATGGCATGATCTTAACTGTGCCATAAAAAAAGCACTTAAAACCCATCTGCTGCCTGGGGCCCTGCCCTTAGGGATGCCCGTCTTTCCTCATCTTCCTGTTCATTCTGCAAAACATCTAAAAATACTGGAAAGATAAATATATTTCATTTGAAATATTTTCTCTTGAATTACGCTATTATAGACAAGTTTGCTCTTCTTCGAATTTATTTTTTGCATTTTCCAACTTAAAAAAGAAAAAAAAACCATTGGACTTAATGAGAAGGAAGAAAAATATGTAATTTGGTTTTGGAGGGTTTCTTGGGCTCCAACCCCTCCTACCGTGCTCCTTGACTCCCTGCAGGGGAAACAGCTTTTGATGCAGAAGCTAAATTCAGTTACTGGCAAGAATGGGGAGGGGAAACTCTTGAACTTGAAGGATAAGAAAGAAGAGGGATCTGCCTCTCACAGCCTTCTGGGTACCTCAGATAAGGCATAATCTGAGGCACCTCACTCTGCCACTTTCTCAGACTCAGCTAACAGCCAACAATGACTCAGGCAAAGGCCGGAGGGTGTCTCAGACAAATGCACCTAAAGCCATCTGTTGTTTGGGGGCTCTGCCCTTAGGGCTGCTCCCCTCTTCTCACCTTCCCTCCCATCCTGCAAAACATCTCCTGGGAATCTCCTGTAGCTGAGACCCTAGAGATGCTAAGGCAAAGACGCTGCTTTGTAAGTGCTTGTGCCTGGGGAAGAAGGAGCTCAGAATAACACAGTGTATTAAAAGTGACAGCCAGTGTATGTCCAGACAGCCAGGGATGTGTCATGGAGCCGCCCGCAAATGGCCCGTGCTTCCTGGGAGGCAGAAAACGGCCACGTGGAACAGAGAAAAGATCACAAAGGTAACAGGAAACGCTGTGCCCAGGTAGCTCTGAAGCACCTTTGGCAGCAATGGACATTTAATCAAATGAAGAGCAGAGGGTGGATCAGGGGTTCTCCAAGGATGGCTCTTGGATCCCCAACATTTTATGTAAACTTGGGATAAATGTGCATTTTTTCTAAATATAGGGCAACAACTTTCATTTTCAAATCAGGGGCTGATGTTTTAAGAAGAAGCAATGGATCAGATTAGTATCAAGGGGCCCTGGTAGTTCTGACAACATAAAATACCAAAGAGTCAACAACCTCAGAAATCACCTCTTAAAGCTGCTGTGCCCAAGGCTGTCCACTCCACAGGGCAAACTTGACCTAGGGTTCTGTTCAGACATGACAAGCTAGCACGGGGCACATCCTGCTTCCGGAAGGCTTGTGCGATATAGGCTTAGTATTAGAGAAAATTAGTACCTAGAAAATGAGTAACCAGACTGTTAACTTTCCAGCTCTTCTCACTAAACAAAGCACACAGCTTTGCATGTTGCAGATGCTCAAACCGTCAGTGAATGGAAACAAGAGGACCCATGCTTTCAAATCCTCTAGAGGAGATGAGACGGGTTGACTAGCAGGGTGGGGGATGGCACCAAAACCCATATCCACAGTGTAGGAAGTGGCTTTCAACAGAGGGTCACAAGCGCCCTCAACAGTTTGCAGTGCCTATAAGTAAGCCCAGGAGAAGTAGCCTGGCCTTGCAGGTTGTATTCAGAGAGGACCCTGTTCTCCTAGGATAGGAAGGATGACATCACTCTGGTGGACACATTGGGGCCCTCTCTGGACCCAGGCTAGACAAGATGACTTCTTGAGGATCCTTCTAGCTTTAGGATTCTGTCATCCATGGGAACGGATGACTCACCCTCAAAGTTACAGGCGTGTAGCCAACCATCTCCTCACATGCATCTACGTCTTGCCGCCTAGGTCCACAGCCACTCATTATGTGGCTTTGAACAATTCATTTAACCTCTCCATTCCCTCAGTTATTTCACCTGCAAAGCGAAGCGGCTGGATGAGACAGCGCCAATAACTTTTCCACCTCTAAAGGTCTTTAATGTTATTACAGAGCCATTAAGATGAGGGAGGAAAAACAGACTAAAAGCATTCTGCTTGTGGACTCTGCATCTGTCTGAGTCTTGAAGAGATATATCTAAGGGCTGTGCCACAGAGAAGAAAAATGACTTTACAAAAGGACAAGTGGCCCTACCAGCCCACCTCTACCCCAGTCCTGCAGTCATAAGAACTCCTCAGCTGCAACCCAAACGCTCCCATGTGAGTGCTGAGCCCTTTAAAAGGCAAGGGAAGTGGTTTTAGTCCTGAAGGGCAAGCCCCTAAAAAAATGAGTGTGTAAGACACTCCACCAGGATAAGATCCTCCAGAGATCAGATGCCCTCCCACTCGTACCCCTGGGCCTCAGTTTCATCATCCAGAAAATGGGGAGAACAGGTGTGGTTCTGAATTTGAACATTTCGAATTGACCACCTCATCAAGGGCTAAGCACAGTGGACAGGCATTGCATAGGCCAGGAAGAGGGGCAAGCAGGGCAATTGTGGGTTCAGCTTTTGAGGCTGCACACAAGGATGTACTTCTGCAAACCCTTAACTGAAGGTTTCTCGTTTGTCTCAGGAGGGAGTGGAGCCCGGGAGTGGCCGGATGGACTCATCGCTGAGGGACAGGGTGGGCTGCCAGGGCTCTGGGCCCGCTCACCTGATGAAGGTGGTCTTCCCGGTGGAGTACTGGCCCACCAGCAGGACCATGGGTTTGTTGTCGAAATCAGCATCCTCCAGGGCCGGCGAGTGGAACTCGTGGAAGCGGTAATGCTCTTCCAGGGGCAGCAGTTTGGTCTTGTAGAGTTTCTTGAGCCCCTCGCTCACGGTCTGGAAGACCTCAGGGTCCTTTCTCCGGCGGTCGTCGGTACCCAGCCAGCTGAACATCGCGGCAGCGGGAAAGGCCTCTCGGGGAAGTGGAGCCGCCGCTTCGCCTCACCGGAGCGCGGGGCTCAGCCGCACCATGGCCCGGGCGCGCTGGCTCGGCTTCTGGGACCAAGCCCAGCCGCTGCTTCACCCCGCAGCGCCGGCCCGGCCCGGCGGAGGAAGACGATCTGGAGTGCGAGGAGAGGCTTGCAACGTCGGCAATCAAAGCCAAACTTACAATTAAACTGCCCAACGCCAGGTCGGTGCGGGGTCCCGGTCCCCCCGGCCCTCGTCTGCTGTGCTCGCGCACGGTGGGCTCCGCGCTTGCCTGAGGCGCTCAGGCTAGGTGGCGACACTGCCCAGTGAGCTGGCAGCTTCGCATCCGCAGCAGCATCCCGCAGCCCCAGACACGCGTTTAAATGCCAGCGGTGCAGGAAGCCGGCGCGTGTAGGAAGTCCCCGAGTACTGGCATGGCCGGGCCGGCCCCATGGTGCGGGCGACGCGAAGCCAAGAAGGGCGCCGCCATGTCTATGGGCAGGCGCTCGCGGACGGACTGGCCAGGGGCTGCGGACAGAGTCTTGTGGGAAAGCGCTGACATTTCGGTGCCTGCCTCTAGGGGTTTGATTTGGGAACAGCGCCCTCTCAGGGGTAGCTGCGGAGACAGCGTTGACCTACTACCGTACTGATCGCTGTCCCTGTCCCTGCCCCTGCTTTGGTATCTCTGTTCCTTTCGTTACTGAGGTCAGTTCCCTGGGAATACAGGTATTCTAGTATTTGGGAGTACTTTTCTTGCTGGTTGAAAAAAGGGTCCTACATCAGATTACATAAAATAACCAAAACCGTCACTAGCTAAACTTTCTGGTAGGCTGGAGGTGAAGTCAAAACTGTTCCCATTCATTCCGATAAAACGAAACGAAGCAAAACAAACACCGAACAAAACCCACATATGTTGAGCACTATTTTGAGATAGACACGATTTGGGCGACAAAGGGGAGCACTATAAGACTCTTCTTTCTGGGAACTGTAGTCAAGGCCGGCTTTACAGAGAAGACATGGGCAGAAGGCCTGAAAGCTCCAGGGATGAGTCGTTCCTTTTGTGCTGATAATTTGATTCTGCTTCCCGGAAAGCTTGCTGTGAACCAGATCTGCAATGAAGAACCCACAGAGAAGGAATCCATCTATTCTAGCCTAAGTAGAGGGCATTGGCAAAAGCCTGGGGCTGTGGAAGATCTTACTGTGTCCAAGTTTGGCATAGATGGAGTACAGGGTTCAGGAAGGCAGACTAGGTGAACAAGACTAGGCGTAGAGGCTGTGCCTGCCAGGCCAGGAACCGAACAAGGGATGAGGAATTCATAACAATATTCTTAATAATAAGGGTTTTATTAACAAAATGCTCACCGTGTGCAGACACCTGGGCTAAGATCTTCACAGGAACTCTATGAGGCAGAATGTATCATCTCCAGCCATATATTAAGGAGAGTGGGTGGATTCCTCGTAGAACGTTTAAGCCCTATAATAAACCTAGTCAAAGCCTCTCTGCTTTGCATTAGCACCGTTCCAAGGAGAGTGGTGAGAAACCGTTCCTCCTTGCCAAGGAAGCGGGCTCCACTGCCCTCCCGTAAGCCTACAAGGAGTCACAGAGCTAATGGACCCAGTGGTACTGATGAGGCTGGGGCAGGGCAGGAAGGAACTGGAGGAGCAAGGGGCTGGGCTAAGATCCAAGTTAGGAACCTACAGGGACCACAGCAATGCGTATGGAGAAGAGGTTATATTTAAGAGATTCGATGGCATAGCATTGATACACAAAGAAAGAGGAAATGAGGATGAGGCAGAGCTGGGGATGATTGCAAATTTTCTAGTGCAGGAGTCAAAACATTTGGAGAAGTGCTTCCACTAACTGGGGAAGTCAGAAAGAGAGCAGATTTGGCAGACCGATGTTGCATTCAGGCTGAAATGTACTGCAGTTCAGAGCCTGAGGGAACTGCAGGTAGAGGCAGGCTGCTGGGATTTCCCTGGGGCTCTTCAGAGGTAAGTCCTTAATGAATCTCCTTAGTTACAACTCAGGTCTCCTGACTCCATCCTTCAACCCCAAACAGGATCATATTTCTGGGCTGTCTGCACCCATAGCTGAGAAACCACTCTGATTCAGAGTATACCCTTAGTGTTTACAAGGGCCCCAACATATGAGGCTAAGAGGTAATCTTACAGATATTTAACTCACATGGCATAGGAAATGAATAACCAGGACTCTAGGCTTCTTGGCTTGAGGAAAGCCGGAGGCCCTGTGCTGTGCTAGGTGTGGCTAGGGAGGCTGGAGGGAACTGGGGGAGGGGCTTTTATAGAAATGTTTCAATATTTTAAAAAATCAGGATAAATATTCTGTTTTGTACCACTGAATTTCAGCTCTGAACATCTGATTTAAGCAGGGCCTGTTGATACATTCACCCATTCTCAACTCTGAATCGTTAGAAATCTGTCTTCCTTAAAAGGGACTAAAAAATACCATTCAAGGAAGCAATATCCTTGAGGAACAAAGAAAGTAAAATGAGCATTAGGAATAGGTCCATGGACAGCTTTAACTGTATTTGCAGTGTTTTGTTTCTTAAATTAGATAATACGTAATTGGCTATTCATTTATTATTCTGTCTGTCCTGTATTGTTATTATTGTTTTTAAATTTCTGGTCCTTAGGAGCACAAAATTGGATTTTTTTCATAATCATGGTTCACGAAAAACTATACCTGGCTCTTTGCTTATGTCTTTTTTTTTTCTTTTTTTGGGTTTTTTTTTGGCACTGGGAATCGAACTCGTGACCTTGCACTTGCCAGGCAGGCGCTGTGCCACTGAGCTAAATCCCCAGGCCCTTTTTTTCTTTTTAAAATAACATAATGAACCCCTAGTGAACTCATCATCCAGTCCAAGAACTAGAAAAATTAGCAATAATTTACATCTGCCTATGGGTTCCTCCCATGTCCTGTCCCCTACCCCTCTCCACTCCTGGAAGGACAGCCTGTCCTGAATTTAGTGAATATTATTATGATTTCTTAAACTGATATTATCAAGTGTGTATGCAAGCCTAGAAAATATCTTGTGGTGGCCTTGTGTTTGGGGACTTTATGAAAAGCACGTCCTGCTGCAAGCAGTTCCCCATAAATCGACCTCTCTTCCACCCATGGTTTTCCCAGAAGCCTCTATTTCCAGCCACCTTTCCCTCCTCCTAGCCTCTGTCCTTGCTGGGCTTCTCCTGACCTGGTGCAGGCCCCTGTGTGCTATCTCCGGACTGCACAGTGACTGAAAGAAAGCAGCACTGCTCTCAAGCCTGAGCTCCCTGGTCTCTGCCAGAGAAATGGTGACAGCATTTTCAAGATTAAAGGACACAGCGTATGCAGCGTAGTTGACACGGTGCCAAGTCCACTGAGAGTGCTCAATACATTGTTAGCTCTTAATATTATAATCACTGTTACCGCTATTCACTGCACGGTGCTGCCCTGAATCCTACTTAAAAAGCTACTTAATAGGCTACTGCATAAGGTTAACACTTAATAACATCAATGTTTAATAAGCTATGTAATAAGCTTACACCTAATAAGTTAGTGAGCAGTTCTTTCCAGTTCCTATGTATCTTGAGGAGGACTCACTGGCTCAAAGGATTATAATTGCTTATAACAGTGGAATCTACAACAGCTGGCATTTGTCACCACCCTTTGGGAATATGACCTTGAAACAGAGGTCTTTCTCTTCTCTCTCTCTTTTCACCAAGACCACATAGGTCACACAAAAGGAAATGAAGATGGAGACTGTAGTGACAACCTGGGATGAACACCTGAGTCACCAGGAGGGGTGAGAGGAGTCTGGAAGCGCCCATCAAGCAGGGCCAACTGCCCTACCTGGGCCCAACCTGCTCCTGCAGCCTAGAGAGTCTTCCATGGCCTCCCATGCATGCTTGTGGGGCTCCTGCAGTAGGGCCTGCTCCTGCTGCCAGGGTCCTGGACCCCTGTTCCAGCACCTCTGTCTTCCCTCCCCACCCCTCTGTCAGGGCACACCCACTGGCCCACGCCCTCCGTCCTGAGGAGCTGAGGTAGCTGCTCTCTCCTAAGAGTAAGCTGCTCCCTTCTTTCCGCTCCCAAGCTGCTTCACAAGAACCTTGTTACTGTATTTATTGCACTTTACTATCATTGTGTGTTGAAATTATTTGCCTCCTGACTGGATAATGCACATCTTCAGCCACTACAGTTTTACTCATTTTATTGATCTCAGTTGGAGGGGAAAGTGTATCAGTTTAGTTAGTTCCTACTGTTGAGAATCAGGCTGAGTTATCATTGCTTTAGTCCATTTTGTGCTGCTGCAGTAGGGTACCTGAGACTGGGAAATTTATAATGAACAAGAATTTATTGGCTCGTGGTTGGAGAGGCTGGTGAGCTCCAGATGGAGGGGCAAGGACTTGCTGCATTAGACATGGCACAAGGGCGAGGAGAGTGAGAGAGAAAGGATTAAACTGAACCTAAGCCCTTTTTAATCAGCATCAATCCATTCATAAAGGTGGAGCCCCATGACCTGAACACTTCTCGGTATACCCCACCTCCCTCCCAGTTGCACTGGGGATTAAATTTCTAATGCAGGTTTTTTGGAGCACATATCTATTATTTAATCTCTTTTAATGAAAATGCCTTCCCATGTGAAACCAGTCCTAACAATGAATAATACTTCACCATGTGGTTATGGGGATAAAATAAAATGTGTTTGGTCAACGACCTATTATATTTTTGTATATCTATAGTAAGTTTTCAATAAATTCATTTCCTCCTCAAATGAATGAATTCTGCCAGTACACGAGAGAAAGGAAGTTTGGAGTAAAAAATTTAGAAAGGAACTTGTGCTCAGGAAGTTTATAAACTGAAAAGGAGACAGAGAAAGAGGATCAGTCTGAGTCCAGTGTCCAGTTGTCCAGGAGTAATATTCCCCACCAATGCCATCACTACTACGTGTATGTCACTGCTGGGACCTGAATCTCTCCTCCATACAGCTCTCCTGCGCAGAAAGACGGCTTCTTTCCCAGGTGTAACAGGTGCAGATCTAACCTAGAAACCCACCATTTCCGGGAGAAAAGCTCATAGTACAGGAGGCCATGATGCACTTGTGTGTGTGTGTGTGTGTGTGTATGTGTAGTTTTATTAAATGCCTCCTCAGAAATGTGAGGATTTATTTTCTCCTATTTTTTTTGTAATTTTCTTGTGATTTTAAATTTTACATGTGACATTTAAATTCATCTTTTAAAAATAAATTAGGGGGGCGGTAATCTAATTGAAACTATTTCCGGATTCTTTACTAATTCTTTCTTGATGAATTCAGTTTTCTCTCCAAGAACCTGCCATTCCCAAAGGTAGGATACTGGTAGCCTGCAAGACACATGAGCTCTACTTAGAAAACCTCCTCCTCCTCTCCCTTCCTTTCCCTCTCATCTTCCTCCTCACCTTCATCTTCCTCTTTGCTTTTGAGGCACACACTGTCTTCAGAGGGTGGCGTTGTCCTGGTGGCCTTGAGACACAGCAATCCAGGAAGGGAAGGTTTGCCAGAGAGGCACCCGGGCCCCAGGAGTCG